GAGGGTATACACAGTTGGTGTTTACGGCCTAGTAACCTGGTGACATCAAGAAACGCCTGAGATGACGTGAGCAATGATGGAAGACGAGATTCACCTGTTCTGCAAACAAGCAACCCGCCTCTACGACCTTCTGACACCACTCCTGCTAAGAGACACCGTTGGTACATCCAGTCCTGCTCTGCTGTGGTCATCTGCGACAAGTTTAACATCAAGACTACCGTGTGAACTGTGATTGATACGAAGGCGTGTGGACTGTCGAGAGCAAGATTAATGGCCGAAGTAACAGTATTCTACAGCTGTCACTTGGCACTCCGCTCTACTACACTCTGTCGTCATTCAGGAGTACTGGATGGGAGTACAAGAGGACCAGGTATTGATGTCTACACATGAGAAGAAGCAAGATCGACACCGTCATCGTCAGCGACTACATTCAGCATCCAGCAGCATCGATTTTTTTTTTTTTCGATTACTCAATATGAACAATTGATACAAACAACAAAGTTGGCTCTGAACATCTGTGTAAAGAACATCTGGACACTTTTGTTTAAATGTTGAAAAACAGATTTAGAATCAATACTTTATAAATGTTGAAAAACAGATTTAAAATAATATATGAAAATTTAACTCTATAAATTGGTCAGTAATCAAAATCGAAGCCCCTGTGTAATTGTCTCAGCCCAGAACAAACGGTTATGGAAAATTATGTTGTGCTATTTTTTTCAGAATGTTTGAACACAGGAGAGGCGGACCAATATAAACATTGACACTTCTAGTGAGTGAGAACACTTGGCTGTACAGTCAGCTGAAACCTGTGATATAGTATAGGAATTTTTTTTTTATATTTTTAGATACATGTAATAAACGTTAGGTGTGTTCCTTAACATGTCAAGGTTGACATTGATGGGGAGTGGTTAGTACACGGATGTGTAACTTGATAGTTCCGTAGTACGCTCCCGGATGACAAAGTTCAGTCTGAACTTATAACTTTAATGTTTGTTTGAGCACGGTGTGGCCGGCTCTAGAGGACACATGGACTTGGCTAGTGAAGAGCCAAGAGAGTTTAATAGCTAGTTTTTGATGGTAGAGTAGGGACATGTTATTTAGCTATGTCAGTAAGGATAGGATGTATGTTTCCTGATATTAGAGGATTGCTGTCAGTTGACAGCTGAGAAATTTATGAAATATGAACATGTTCATTATGATGTTGGACTATTATTTGTCAAATTTTATTAGTTAGGTTAGCTTTTGTTTGTGGCATGAGTTGAATTGTGGGTTTGGATACTAAACCTCGTGAATTTTAACAAATTAACAAGGTTTACTAAGTGCTTGTGCGGGGGGGTTGTAACAAACTAGGCTGTTGTAAGAATTATCCAGAGTGGTTTATCGACAAAAGAGAATGGGAAGCTGAGCCGCATGGTGACCTGACCCCCAGGGGAATTCGCGGTGGAAATAACCGACGCTTTGTTCATATCTGCGTATAATGAATCATCCTATAGTATTCAGTAATTTAGAGAAAATTAGCCTTTATTCATTTTGCATTAAAATTGTATTGTATAATAGTACTGGATACAATATCAAGAGTATTCTAATTATTGAGTTTAAGTCACCATCAGTGACGTCACGAATCAGATCTAACTTTTAAAGCGGAGTGACCGGCGGTCATAGGTCATCAGGGGTTGACAGGTCTACTATTTCTCAAAGTTTTAATAACCATTTTTGTGATCGGGAACAGCTCTGCCGTTAGATGTTTGTAATTTAATTCAGTAAAATAATTCAACCAGTCTGGATCAATTAAGTACAACAGAGTTTAATTGTTATAACTTAACCTTGCTAAAGTAACTGGGTAAGCGATGCGGAACAATACAATACTCTGTCTGGGGTAGTCCAGACAAGGAAAAAATCAGTGTGGTCACGGAAGCAGCTAGGAGAGGTCAAACATCTTACCTCTCCCCAAGACCAGCCAAGACATCTAGCTGGTCGCCCAAGGTATAGTTGCTATTGTTAATTATAGAAATAGTCTTCTCATTTGCCACTCAGGTCAAGTAGGGAGTGTTAAAGTGATAGGGAGTGAACATATTTAGATTTTGTTTTAGTTTTCTTTTAATAAATTAAATTTGTTATTAATTTGCATTTTATTGTTTCCATGTGTTTTATGTGTATACTTGTCCTGGTCACGTGGTCCACACGAGGCAGAGTTGCATTGGGCGCCGATTCTAACATCGAATCGGAATTATCATTACCGTGTAATTTATTCCACACTCAAGGTCATCGTTTATAGTGGGGATCAAGCCCCTAGGTTGATTAATTAGCGTGATCGATCCAGACCTCGATCATTGCTCTTGTATTACTGGTCTGGTGGTGGCAGCAGAGGTGACTCTAGGGTTTTGTTCAGAGCTTAGGTCACGTCATACTGGGTGTAGAATCCTAAGTCGGTCAATCGTCTTAGGACCACGTGGCGTGGAGTTGGCTTTGGTAAAAGTTTTGGAGTCCCTTGGTTTAGAAATAAAAGTAAGAATACGGGTAGAGGGAGTAGAAAGAAGGAAGTAAAGAGAGAGGAACCCTAACCCGTGTTACACGGCCTCTGAACACGGCCTCTGGCCACCCACCTGGTGCTCAGAACACGGCCTCTGGCCACCCACCTGGTGCTCAGAACACGGCCTCTGGCCACCCACCTGGTGCTCAGAACACGGCCTCTGGCCACCCACGGCCTCTGGCCACCCATCTGGTGCTCAGAACACGGCCTCTGACCACCCACCTGGTGCTCAGAACACGGCCTCTGGCCACCCACCTGGTGCTCAGAACACGGCCTCTGGCCACCCACCTGGTGCTCAGAACACGGCCTCTGGCCACCCACCTGGTGCTCAGAACACGGCCTCTGGCCACCCACCTGGTGCTCAGAACACGGCCTCTGGCCACCCACCTGGTGCTCAGAACACTGCCTCTGGCCACCCACCTGGTGCTCAGAACACGGCCTCTGGCCACCCACCTGGTGATCAGAACACGGCCTCTGGCCACCCACCTGGCGCTCAGAACACTGCCTCTGGCCACCCACCTGGTGCTCAGAACACGGCCTCTGGCCACCCACCTGGTGATCAGAACACGGCCTCTGGCCACCCACCTGGTGCTCAGAACACTGCCTCTGGCCACCCACCTGGTGCTCAGAACACGGCCTCTGGCCACCCACCTGGTGATCAGAACACGGCCTCTGGCCACCCACCTGGTGATCAGAACACGGCCTCTGGCCACCCACCTGGTGCTCAGAACACGGCCTCTGGCCACCCACCTGGTGCTCAGAACACGGCCTCTGGCCACCCACCTGGTGATCAGAACATGGCCTCTGGCCACCCACCTGGTGCTCAGAACACTGCCTCTTTTGCCAATCTGTTGTTCAAGTTGAGAGACACATTCAGGTAGTTCCTTTTGATGTAGAGATGTTCTATTGTAAACTGAGTACAATTTGTCCATAAATGCTTGAAAATGATTCATTCCACGAACTTCTCTCACTGACTCACCTACTGCAAGTTCTAATCTGTGATTAAGACGGTGACAAGATTATTATATCAGGGGTAATGTTCCTTGAAAAGTGTTGCAACGCCAGATCATGCAACCGAGCATGACACTTGCCCCATCACTAGCAAATGCTACAAGGTTGTTTCAAATATAAGTCATCAAACCCATGATAACTGAGACATCTAAACAGATACCTAGCAATAATAGTTGCTGCTTTCTGATCAGGTAGTTTAATTAGATCTAAGAACATGAAATGAGGGATTACCCTCCTTATCACTTTCTCATTTCAAGTAAACTATCAATGTTTTAATGCTCAGGCTGGTTGATTCATCAATGAAAACATAAATTTTGCCATTTCTGTCCTTCATATCCTGACAAATTTTATTTTTCATATTAATGACTATGTGATTAATTCCCTGTGGCACTAGTGCGGGAATGTAGTCCCATTCCAATGTCAACACCATTTTGCTTTTGTAGTTCGAGTAAGCCAAAGTTATCAGAGTATGAAGAAATATCATAACATTATTAACTTATTAGTGATGTAAAACTAATATTTTTTCTGCCACGATCAACCATCACCCACAAGCTATCGACTTCCTTTTCCTTCATCCTCTCTCTCCCCTCATCCTCTCTCTCTTTCTCCTCATCCTCTCTCTCCCCTCATCCTCTCTCCCTTTTCCCCATTCCATCATCCACTTCCAGAGGTGCCGGAGCGGCGCTTCGGCGAGCTCCGGCAGCACTGCATCACTGTTGAGAGACGCCACATTTTTTCACAGCGACAACGATACACCTCGTTCCATGAGGACTCACCTCGTTCCATGAGGACTCGCCTCGTTCCATGAGGACTCGCCTCGTTCCATGAGGACTCGCCTCGTTCCATGAGGACTCACCACGTTCCATGAGGACTCACCACGTTCCATGAGGACTCACCACGTTCCATGAGGACTCACCACGTTCCATGAGGACTCACCTCGTTCCATGAGGACTCACCTCGTTCCATGAGGACTCACCACGTTCCATGAGGACTCACCACGTTCCATGAGGACTCACCTCGTTCCATGAGGACTCACCTCGTTCCACGAGGACTCACCTCATTCCATGAGGACTCACCACGTTCCATGAGGACTCACCTCGTTCCATGAGGACTCACCTCGTTCCATGAGGACTCACCTCGTTCCATGAGGACTCACCTCGTTCCATGAGGACTCACCTCGTTCCATGAGGACTCGCCTCGTTCCATGAGGACTCACCACGTTCCATGAGGACTCACCACGTTCCACGAGGACTCACCACGTTCCATGAGGACTCACCACGTTCCATGAGGACTCACCTCGTTCCATTAGGACTCACCTCATTCCATGAGGACTCACCTCGTTCCATGAGGACTCACCTCGTCCCATGAGGACTCACCACGTTCCATGAGGACTCACCACGTTCCATGAGGACTCATCTCATTCCATGAGGACTCACCTCGTTCCATGAGGACTCACCTCGTTGGGGCCAAACGGGTCCGCTGTCGTAGGAGCCGCCACCACCCAGCTGGGAGCAGTCTGGAGGAGCGAAGCCTGGCTGACAGTGGCAGTGGCCGGCGCTGTTGCACACCCCGCGACCCGAACACCCGTCCCGACAGTCGCCCTCTGGGACGGTGATCTCCTGACACCTCTGCTGGACACACATCTGTGGGGAGAGGAAGATGACGGGGGTGAGGGCGAACTCAAGCTTAACAAGACTAGTCATCCCCATTTACATTTCTGTATTTACCTCTGTAAACACAGATAGGAAACTTTTTTCTCAGCAATGCTGATTTTCTTTTATAATGATATTTCAGTACCAATAAAGGATATTATTGTGATCTGAAAAGTTATGGGGCTATATGGTCGAAAAGTTATGGTCTTTTATATGGCTATATGGTCTAAAAGTTATGGTCTTTTATATGGCTATATGGTCTAGAAGTTATGGTCTTTTATATGGCTATATGGTCTAGAAGTTATGGTCTTTTATATGGCTATATGGTCTAAAAGTTATGGTCTTTTATATAGCTGTATGGTCTAAAAGTTATGGTCTTTTATATGGCTATATGGTCTAAAAGTAAAAGTTATATGGGGCTATGTTATGGGGTTTGTTACGGGACAATGTCATGAGACAATGTTATGGGGGTTGTAAACAGTAAGAAATATAATTATCAGGAGAAACACTAGGCAAGTATGACCATATTTACCACAAGGAAGGGCTAAGAGGGGATAGGACAGGAGGACGTTGGACGTGAGGACAGAGGGAGGGTGGGGGTCGGAACCTCAGGGATCGGAACCTCAGTTACTTGAACCGTTGGAGGAACTGAGCTGCAAGCAGCAAGGCCGCCGCTGTACCCTCCAGTCCTAGGAAGTGTTGTGTATATTTATGAAGATGGAGGAGTGGGAGCAGCAGCATAATAGCATTCATCTTGCGTCACCCCAACAGACCAACAAGAGCTGCTTCTGCGTCACCCCAACAGACCAACAAGAGCTGCTTCTGCGTCACCCCAACAAGAGCTGCTCCTGCGTCACCCCAACAGACCAACAAGAGCTGCTTCTGCGTCACCCCAACAGACCAACAAGAGCTGCTTCTGCGTCACCCCAACAGACCAACAAGAGCTGCTTCTGCGTCACCCCAGCAGACCAACAAGAGCTGCTTCTGCGTCACCCCAACAGAGCAACAAGAGCTGCTTCTGCGTCACCCCCAACAGACCAACAAGAGCTGCTTCTGCGTCACCCCAACAAGAGCTGCTTCTGCGTCACCCCAACAAGAGCTGCTTCTGCGTCACCCCAACAAGAGCTGCTTCTGCGTCACCCCAACAGACCAACAAGAGCTGCTTCTGCGTCACCCCAACAGACCAACAAGAGTTGCTTCTGCGTCACCCCAACAGACCAACAAGAGTTGCTTCTGCGTCACCCCAACTGACCAACAAGAGCTGCTTCTGCGTCACCCCAACAGACCAACAAGAGTTGCTTCTGCGTCACCCCAACAGACCAACAAGAGCTGCTTCTGCGTCACCCCAACAGAGCAACAAGAGCTGCTTCTGCGTCACCCAACAACAACAAGAGCTGCTTCTGCGTCACCCCAACAGACCAACAAGAGCTGCTTCTGCGTCACCCCAACAGACCAACAAGAGCTGCTTCTGCGTCACCCCAACAGAGCAACAAGAGCTGCTTCTGCGTCACCCCAACAGACCAACAAGAGCTGCTTCTGCGTCACCCCAACAGACCAACAAGAGCTGCTTCTGCGTCACCCCAACAGACCAACAAGAGCTGCTTCTGCGTCACCCCAACAGACCAACAAGAGCTGCTTCTGCGTCACCCCAACAGAGCAACAAGAGCTGCTTCTGCGTCACCCCAACAGACCAACAAGAGCTGCTTCTGCGTCACCCCAACAGACCAACAAGAGCTGCTTCTGGGTCACCCCAACAGACCAACAAGAGCTGCTTCTGCGTCACCCCAACAGAGCAAGAAGAGCTGCTTCTGCGTCACCCCAACAGAGCAACTAGAGCTAAAGAAGTACGAGAGAAGCGTGTACCTTGTTGTGGCCGCAGGAGGCTCCGTCAGGAGTGAGCCAGGTGCTGGAGGTGACGGTGTTGGAGGCCAGGATGTAGCGGCACGTCTCCCCTCCCACCGTCTGGTAGCCGTAGCCCCCGGGGAGCTGCGGCTTCTCCCCCAGGCGCGTCCCACAGTGAAGGGTGCCGCAGGCGGCGTCCCTGACGAAGCACACGGAGGTGTTCAGAGGGTTTGGTATATCATGGGGACAGGACGGGGTATATCATGGGACAGGACGTGGTATATCATGGGACAGGACGGGTTATATCATATAGGGACATATTCACTCACTGGGGGGCACAGGGACATATTCACTCACTGGGGGGCACAGGGCAGCAAGCCGGTCTTGCTGGCGGGGCTGACGCCGCAGTTGCCGTCGGAGCCGCCCCTCTTGTTGATCCAGGTGTAGCAGGTGGAGGTGGCGACGAAGGCCTCGGGGCCCCACACCTGCTGGCACCGGCCCTCGTGGCTCCCACACGCCCCCTGGTAACAGTGGCCCTGAGGGGGGAACACCACAGGATGTTCATTCCTTTATATTATTTGTTCATTATTTTTTGTGTATAAAACGTTATGGCATGGCGTTTTAGCCTCATAATTCCCTTAAGGGGGAGGAGGCCTGGTCGACGACCGGGCCGCGGGGACACTAAGCCCCGGAAGCACCTCAAGGTAAGGGGAAAATTCTGTACAAGTCTTCTATGTATAATTGTGGTTTGATAATTCATCTTGAGAAATGCTTCAATTTCGCTAGGAAAATTGGGAATGATTTTGTGGCAGGAATAATGGTAGATTTTTTTCCTGATTTTTGTTGTTGTTGATGTTGTCACTATTAATTTCCTTGACAGGAGGGATATGAAAAAAAGGAAAGGAAACCATCAGGGGATAGCACCAAGCCATTACGACTATATAGCACTTGGAAGGGGCAGGATAAGGATTTGGGATGGGACGGAGGGAAAAGGAATGGTGTCCAACCACTTGGACGGTCGGGGATTGAACGCTGACCTGCATGAAGCGAGAGCGTCGCTGTACCGTCCAGCCCAAGTGGTTGGACAGGAGGGATATGGAGTTGACTTGGGTTGTTCTTACTAAGAGCTCATAAAATATATTTCAGCTTAATTATTGACATTACCTAAAGAAGAAAGAGTGTAATACACGCCATATGGGTGAGACACTGTCTTCCTTACACGACTTATTCTCTCGTCCTCTCATCATTAGTGGACTGATTCACTCACCTTGCACGATTGACTCACGGTTTTTGTCTTTCATAACTGACTCACCTTGCCGCCCCTGCAGGGCTGACTCACCTCGCCGCCCCTGCAGGGCTGACTCACCTTGCCGCCCCTGCAGGGCTGACTCACCTTGCCGTCCCTGCAGGGCTGACTCACCTTGCCGCCCCTGCAGGGCTGACTCACCTTGCCGCCCCTGCAGGGCTGACTCACCTTGCCGCCCGTGCAGGGCTGACTCACCTTGCCGCCCCTGCAGGGCTGACTCACCTTGCCGCCCCTGCTGGGCTGACTCACCTTGCCGCCCCTGCAGGGCTGACTCACCTTGCCGCCCCTGCAGGCAGTGCCATCACTGACGAGGACGTCATCGGGGCAGTACTCGGACTGGCCGGGGCAGTACTCGGGCAGGTCGCAGTGCGTGCGGGCCTCACGACACATCTCCCCCTTCCTCTTAGCACGACACGTCTGACGGAACGACACCACCGCTCGTCACACTCCACAAGCTTGTTCTACACTCTCACGGCATTATATATATATATATCCTATGTTGTTCGAGGCGACATATATCCTATGTTGTTCATTATTCTCACCAACTCAATCCTCTTCTTTACTTCCCCCCATTCCCCCTTTCCCCCACAGCAGCTCACCTGCGTGTCACAGCAGGAGCCCGAGGCGCAGGAGGCGTTGGCGGCGAGCTTGCACTGGCTGGCGACGCAGCAGGGGTTGTCGCAGAACTCTGGCGGCCCGCAGTCGCACTGCTCTCCCGCCCCCACGTCCACCACCCCGTCGCCGCAGCTGCTGCCCGCCACCAGCCTCGTCGGCACGTTCTTCAGGCAGTCAAAGGAACCTGACTCCATGCGTTCGGCCAGATACTTCTTGCTGCAGGAGCTCCAGCTGACGTTGGCCTCGAAATACGAACTGGACAAGATGGATGCTCTGATGTTAGTACTTGGCGATGCTGAACGTGGGAGATGAAAAGAGGGGGGGGGGGGAGTGAGAGAGAAAATGAGAGAAAAGAGGGAATCAGAATAATATAATTATCATATTAGTTTCAAGTTTCACTGCATTTTCTCATGTTAGGCACTCGTGTGTATGTGTGTTAAGCATGGCATACTTACTTGCCACTGGCACTCATGATGCATTTAAGAGTGTCGCAGTCGCAGTCGTCCTTGTCGTGTAGCATGCCCAGGTTGTGGCCCATCTCGTGCGCCACCGTCTGCGCCACCACGCCCTCGTGCGCCATCCTGTCCTGCACCACGGCCACCGAGTTCATTCCGCTAGCGGGGCAGAGAATTAGTCTCAGGTGCTACGTCAGCACTCTTAGGGCAGCACTGTTAGGTCAGCACATTCAATTCAGTTCATGATTGACGAGGGTCAACGTTATGTTGGGGGAATCAGTGTTAAGGAGAGGAGAAGCAGCATGGTAAAGGCTGTGACACATATCACTAAACATATCTAAGGAAATTAGGGTCTGAAAATGTTGGTTCAAGACTGTTTCGCAGTTGCGCGGACCTGCTGGCTTCACCTATCACTCGCTTCTACTAAATTCGACATCCTCAAAAAATGTCGTTTGCAATCGAAGACAAAAAGGTAGAATTTGATTTTATAAAAGGAAGAGCCATCAAATGGGCAGCGACTTCAGACCAGTAATACTGCTTTCAAGTACTGGGAACATTTTTGACACAATCTCACAATATATGACAGCGTTCTTCACCATCATCGCTCACATCGACACTATAGTTTCAGAAAATATCGTTCTGTTGTTGATCGATTGAGCCTCTCTGTTAAAGGACATTATTCACTAGATTAATTCAAGATCAGCTGTGTTTTTGCACTGAACAGTTGGCGTCTTGGAGCGCCGACTTTAAGCACTTGGTATCTTAAGACACATCTGCAGTTAATGAAGGATTATCTTCAAGAACGGACTCTAAGGGTATTCTTTATTGGGACAAAATCTGACAACCACTCAACTGACGCAAGAGTGCCACAGGGTAATATACTTGGCCCTTTGTTGTGAGAAAGTCAACTTTGGCGATCTACTCCACCTCATTCCCGAAGCTCAAGCCTATACTGATGACTCTACACTAACCTATACATATACAAGAGAAAATGTCGACCCCCAAGTTTCATTAATTGCGAATTTACAGCAATACACACATAGATAGGCGCATCCGATTCCTCGATCGTTGTATCCCCCCACTCAACAACAACAATACCTACATAGGAAAGGTGTTGCTCATCAATAGATTGCATCATATGACGACTGGGAGAGAGATACAGAAGGGCGGTAAAAACTTAGTGCTTAGGGATAACGTTCATATCTTGGGGATGAAGTCAAGATGGTTCTTGACTTCATTCCCAAGCAAGAATTAAAACAGCCATAAAATGCATCATGTTCTTTCTCAACATCAGTGGTTGGAAACTTTATATGAAGCTTAAGTTTGCTCCCAATTTGAGTATGCACAACTCTCCCGTATGGCCTGTACTCCTCTCTTCCCCCCCCCATCACTTATACACATTCTGGACAAGGTGGAGAGCTGCACCTGAAGACTGATGTCTACTCCAGACTCATTATGATTGAACTGGTCAACACATCAGAGCCTTCAATGTCGGGGAGATGTTGGCATCTGTGGCTTTTTGCTTTCCTGACTACAATTGCATGCAACACCACTTTGCAATGGCTGACGGCTTCAACAATATCAGTTCAGGTTTAGGATAAATGAGATCAATGCGTCCAGGCCCAGTGGGCACTAGATCTAGTAAGGATCCATCAGTTGGGCATTCCTTATTGACAGGATTCATCTGGTCCCGAATCACTTAGGTGGTGTGAGTTACTAGAATGCAACAATGGCACTCTAAATGATCTCTCAATGGGTCCTCATTAAAATTTGCTTGACTAAGGGCTTAGTGATATTAGAGCTTGGACCTGTATCTGTACAAATGGCAATTCAGTTCAGAGGCAGTATTTTAAAACGGCTTACGCAAACACTGTCGTAAATTAACAAGGTTTATTTACAGAAGTTACATACTAATACATAGTATGGTTATATTACTCTACGATTAGTCGAATCAAAACTAATACGACGTGAGAGAGACCTTTTGATGCCTCAACTGACCGATCACATGGATCACTCAGAGACAATCTTGTCTTAACACTTTTTTAGATAGCCAATCACAAGTCCAGCTTTCCTAACACTGCCACTTGCAAGGGAAAACATTAGAGTTCCTCCCAAAGACCTCCAAAGGCAATCAATATAATGACATGTATCAACTCAATAATGATCTGTCAAGCTGACACTCAACATGACAGACATATCTGTGTTGTGAGTTTAAGGCTCACACTCTGACAGGGTCAACAATCGAGATACCACACAGATAATTACTTGTTCCCTGTCGGTGTGTCTGTAAACTCAGCCTCCACCTGCTGCAGGTGAGTATAGAGAGATGAGTAAATCTCTGGCTGACCAGCAATCAACACAAAGCTAGACAATAACACAATAATAGCCAGAGGTTAGTACACACACTAATGGCGGCCTCACACACCTACAGGTTGTGAGGCCGCGACACACACCTCGCAGGTCTGAACAACTGTGGCCAGATTCACGAAAGCACTTACGCAAGCACTTACGAACCTGTACATCTTTTCTCAATCTTTGGCGGCTTTGTTTTCAATTATTAAACAGTTAATGAGCTTCGAAGCACCAGGAGGCTGCTTATAACAATAACAACAGTTGAATGGGAAGTTTTCATGCTTGTAAACTGTTTAATAAATGTAACTAAAGCCGTCAAAGATTGAGGAAAGATGTATACGTTCGTAAGTGCTTGCATAAGTGCTTTCGTGAATCTGGCCCCTGGTCTTCACCACTGTCGATCTGGTGGAAGTCGGGCTCATGACTCTCTGCAGTGGCCGCATACGGTATTGATGCAGATCATGCACGTGGCAGTACCCAAGGTGCACCCTGAGGTGCGTCCTCAGGGTGCTAGGTGCAGGGTCGTGGCCGGCGGCAGTGAGTCGTGACTCGGGGTTAAAATCACAGATGTGGCCGATTGCTGTTTCACACGCGGTTCGGGTTTTCTGGTTCGAATGCCATACAGAGTATCGGCTATAATGTCAGCTCTTCTAATTTTCGTCTTAAGGTAGTTCACCAACGGAATAACTATGGTGGTACTTTGGATTACACACAACATTCACTGGATAACTTTCTCTGTATATTTAACTGCACAGATTATTTAGATATTACACGATGGAGGGCTACACTTGTAACAGTGCTGTTCCAGCGTATTGTATGCTCACGGGGTCTCCTATAGTCACTCCACTTAATTGAAAATAATTCCACAGTTGGATTACGGCCGTTTGCAGGAACGTTTCTCACAATTTGGGCACTGGCAAAACATGGCCTGAGGACTTAGATGATGTGTTTCTAGTTAGTGGCTTGTTACCCCAACGATATGTCTCCTATGGTGGTTGTCCTTGGTGGGAATGCTTGGCTAGGTATGAGACCAAGCCCTAGTAGGCTCCAGCCCTTGTTTCTGAGATTAGCCAATCAGTGATCAATGATTTGGAGGCTTCTAGGCATATTGGGGCATTTAGGTAGTCATGTGGGCTGGTGAAGTCAAGGCTACACCACCGCTCCCAAGTCGAGGATTGCGGGTAACCTGCGGCCAGAGTCACGAAGCAGTTACGCAAGTACTTATAGGAGCGTGTTCCTCCTTACCATCTCCGTAGCACTACGTAGCATGGTGCACGTGCAGATGAGCAGCAAGACGCCATTTGGAGTCCGTGGTGGGTAACTGAGACTCCACACTCTCTCTCACAGTGGCCTTCCTGTTACGTATAAAGCTAATGTTCTCAAGGGTTCTCACCTAGCTTGACTTGAGGGGAAAACCAGAAGCTGGCGTGCACAACACAAGGCGCTCAGCCACCAGCCACATCGTGCTGCCTGTGCCCCATTCTCAAGAATATCACTACATTAGCAGTCATTATTCTATAAGCTGACTCAAAAATTGGAATCTTCTCCCAATATATAGGCATGCGTGAAATTGAGAGAAAGAGTGAGAGAGTGAGAGTGAGAGTGAGAGAGAGAGAGAGAGAGAGAGAGAGAGAGAGAGAGAGAGAGAGAGAGAGAGAGAGAGAGAGAGAGAGAGAGAGAGAGAGAGAGAGAGAGAGAGAGAGAGAGAGAGAAAGAGAGAGAGAGAGAGAGAGAAGAGGGGTAGGAATGGGGGAAGTAAGGAAGAGGATAGAGTTGGTGAGAATAACGAGCCACTGGCCACTCACCTGCACATCCCACCGACAGAGGCGTAGCCCACGGTGTCTCCGGTGAAATCAACCTTCCTAAAGATCAGCGGAGTAAACAAATAATAGAAAGTCAACATTTAAGTTTTGTTTACCACTTATAAGTCGTTTTGCCAGAATGGAACTTTTACATACATCTATGTTTATCAGCGCGGATATACGGGAAAGGTGTTGTACACAACTATGTGTTATTAACCATGCATTAGCAAAATGTTAAACAGCTTTAGTGTGAATATGTCGTGGGTGAGCAGTCCACCTGGTCCACACCTGCCCTCCTGGTCCACCCCACCACACCTGCCCTTCTGGTCCACCCCACCACACCTGCCCTCCTGGTCCACCCCACCACACCTGCCCTCCTGGTCCACCTGGTCTACCTGGTCCACCCACCACACCTGCCCTCCTGGTCCCCCCCACCACACCTGCCCTCCTGGTCCACCCCACCACACCTGCCCTCCTGGTCCACCCCACCACACCTGCCCTCCTGGTCCACACCACGACACCTGCCCTCCTGGTCCACCCCACCACACCTACCCACCTGGACCACCCACGACACCTGCCCTCCTGGTCAACCCCACCACACCTGCCCTCCTGGTCCACCCCACCACACCTGCCCTCCTGGTCCACACCACCACACCTGCCCTCCTGGTCCAACCCACCACACCTGCCCTCCTGGTCCACCCCACCACACCTGCCCTCTTGGTCCATCCACCACACCTGCCCTCCTGGTCCACCCACCACACCTGCCCTCCTGGTCTACCCACCACACCTGCCCTCCTGGTCCACCTGGTCCACCGACCAAACCTGCCCTCCTGGTCCACCTGGTCCACCCCACCACACCTGCCCTCCTGGTCCACCCACCACACCTGCCCTCCTGGTCCACCCACCACACCTGCCCTCCTGGTCCACCTGGTCCACCCACCACACCTGCCCTCCTGGTCCACCCACCACACCTGCCCTCCTGGTCCACCCACCACACCTGCCCTCCTGGTCCACCCACCACACCTGCCCTCCTGGTCCACCCACCACACCTGCCCTCCTGGTCCACCCACCACACCTGCCCTCCTGGTCCACCCACCACACCTGCCCTCCTGGTCCACCTGGTCCACCCACCACACCTGCCCTCCTGGTCCACCCACCACACCTGCCCTCCTGGTTCACCCACCACACCTGCCCTTCTGGTCCACCTGGTCCACCCACCACACCTGCCCTCCTGGTCCACCTGGTCCACCCACCACACCTGCCCTCCTGGTCCACCCACCACACCTGCCCTCCTGGTTCACCCACCACACCTGCCCTCCTGGTCCACCTGGTCCACCCACCACACCTGCCCTCCTGGTCCACCCGCCACACCTGCCCTCCTGGTCCACCCACCACACCTGCCCTCCTGGTCCACCCACCACACCTGCCCTCCTGGTCCACCCACCACACCTGCCCTCCTGGTCCACCTGGTCCACCCACCACTCCTGCCCTCCTGGTCCACCCACCACTCCTGCCCTCCTGGTCCACCCACCACACCTGCCCTCCTGGTCCACCTTGTCCACCCACCACACCTGCCCTCCTGTTCCACCCTCCACACCTGCCCTCCTGGTCCACCCACCACACCTGCCCTCCTGGTCCACCCCACCACACCTGCCCTCGTGGTCCACCCCACCACACCTGCCCTCCTGGTCCACCCCACCACACCTGCCCTCGTGGTCCACCCCACCACACCTGCCCTCCTGGTCCACCTGGTCCACCCACCACACCTGCCCTCCTGGTCCACCCACCACACCTGCCCTCCTGGTCCACCTTGTCCACCCACGACACCTGCCCTCCTGGTCCACCCACCACACCTGCCCTCCTGGTCTACCCCATCACACCTGCCCTCCTGGTCCACCCACCACACCTGCCCTCCTGGTCCACCCCACCACACCTGCCCTCCTGGTCCACCCCACCACACCTGCCCTCCTGGTCCATCCACCACACCTGCCCTCCTGGTCCACCCACCACACCTGCTCTCCTGGTCCACCCCACCACACCTGCCCTCCTGGTCCACCCACCACACCTGCCCTCCTGGTCCACCCCACCACACCTGCCCTCCTGGTCCACCCCACCACACCTGATCTCCTGGTCCACACCACCACACCTGACACTCACGTCAACAAGACAGTGTTGTCATTAGGAAGGTGTGACTTCTTCTCCATGAACTTCTGCCTGTAGAGCCGCAGGTTGTCAAGGCTCTTCTCGAAGTCCGGCACGATGTCCACCTCCCCGGGCGTCGTCAGCACCTCCAGGTGCACCAGCACTACCACTATCCCCAGCTTCCGATACACCTGGTGCAAGGAAGGTGAGAGAGTAGTTTAGGTACAGAGGGAGCTTGTACATGTGTACATCTGATGTGTTGTGACAGAGGGAGGTTGTTCTCCTCGCAGACTCACAGAAGGAGTCTATGAACAGCGGGAACTATCCTTTACACATATTTGTCATGGATAGGTTATCCAGACATACCTGTACACCTCTACTGACACTCTCCTACTCCTAGTGGTGAGAAGGGAGGAAGACTTAGTATGGATAAAAGAGAAAGAGGAGGAATGTGATGAGAGAGAGAGAGAGAGAGAGAGAGAGAGAGAGAGAGAGAGAGAGAGAGAGAGAGAGAGAGAGAGAGAGAGAGAGAGAGAGAGAGAGAGAGAGAGAGAGAGAGAGAGAGAGAGAGAGAGAGAGAGAGAGAGGGGGGGTAGGGGGGATGGGGGAATGGATAGAAAACGGGGGAGGGTGAAGGAGGCACCGAGGTAGAGTCATGTGGAAGAGGCTATAAAAAAGAGGGTTACAATAGAGGAGGAAATAAGAGAGGTGAGAAGGAAGGGAGTTGGAGGATAAATATAAAGAGATACTTAGTACTAAATGCTGCCACCATCCTGTCATCTTACAACCATCTTTCACGACTCCTAAAGAGTGCGACAAGAAGCACCATTTATTAACTTCACTGAATCACCAGCAGTGACCCGCCTGGTGCCAGAGAGAGAGGGGGGGGGGGGTGGAGGGGGCACAAGTCTCCCCTTACTCACATAACTTGTCACCACATAACTTCCCGGAGACTCATCCACATAACAGTGGTGTATACACATACCCATGTGTATGTTCTACAACATACACCCACCCCAGATAGATATACACTGCAGAACACATGCCGTGAAACCCAAACTTGACAAGACAGACGAAATCCGATCTTTTTAAAATCAGAGCCTTCAAATCGAGTTTAAAAGAAGTGTCAGATCTTAAACAAACAAAAGAAGATTGAACAATTGTTAACCAGTGTGATAATCAACTTATCACACTCATCATCGTAATCACTGTCTCACCGCATTGACAATGTTGGCGATGGTGCGGCAGCGGTGGTGGGTGGCGCGGCGGTGCGCGGACTGGAAGGTATAGTCGGCCACCATCACCAGTTCGATGAAGCGAGTGTCGGCCTTGTCCCACAGCTCTCCTGAACCTCGCAGCGGCGGCGACGACCGGCGGCTCTGGTGACGCACGAGGCGCAAGTCTTGTCAACTACTTGTATTTGAAAGGATATATATATATATATATTCTCCGTGAGCTTGACTGTGGGATAGTGAGAAATCACTCATCTCAAAAGCATTGGTTACCATATAAGATATTATACTTAACAACAGTATAATATCAATAATATATAATATATCAATATCAATAATAATTAACAAATAATTAAAAATAATTAAAGAAAGAAATAGTTAAAGGAAAGACATTAAGAGGCACACCTTACATATACGTGGTGTAGGTGGTGGTCGAGAGTCGTCATGGTCGGGGGGGGGGGGAGGCACAGCGAGGTGGTAACGTTAATTAATATTACTGAACTTGAAAAAGAAAATCGACGCGCGTCGTCTCTTCAATGTAATTGTTTTTAATTGTCAGGGGAAAGCGTCAAGCCATTACGACTTAATAGCTTTGGGAAGGGGGGTCAGGATAAGGATTTGGGATGGGACGGGGGGGGGGGGAAAGGAATGGTGTCCAACCACTTGGACGATAGGGGATTGAACGCCGATCTGCATGAAGCGAAATCTTCGCTCTACCGTCTGTCAAAGTGACTGGGTGTCTCTTCAATGCAGCAGAATGGTTTATTACTTCTTCATTAAAATACTTCATATCTGCTAGCATTGTATTTTCAGTCGTTATCACTGCTAGAGCAGACAGTCTCTCATCCGCCACAGTATTGCGCAAAGTTGTGATTCTCTTCAAAAGTTGAAAAGTACCTTTCTGCTTCTTCCGTTGTCATTGGAGTTGTTATTAAAATTTTCAGTAGCTTTCCAGTTTCTGATAACGTTGACTGCAAATGATCGTCGTTCATCATCTCAGCAAGTCCACTACGGGCTCACCATAGCCCGTGCTACTTGGAACTTTTTGTTCCGAGCAGCTGAATCTAAAACAACAACATCCAATAGGTTAATGAAATTTTTTTCTGATATACGCAAATCTTCTCTTGTGTACAGTACTGTAAGTTCGGTTCTCAGTTGATTTTTTCCAACCATGGGATAGGCTGCAACTGCTGGTACAAGTGCATTACTAGGGAGGTCTCTGGTGTGCTCTGGGCATTTACTAACAGTAACTTGCTAGCTTCCCAATGATTAGTGAAGCTCAACCTCATCCTGCACTGCAACAAAATTACGTCACGAACCTCCTTTGCCGCAGCTGATCTATCAATAAAATGGATAAAACTGGTGTATATCTTCCTTTTATTATTATTTATATCTATTCATTTCATGTCGGCTGCGAAAAGTTGATACTCTGTAGATACCTCACTGAATTCACTCTGCTGTCCATTGCCATTGTTTGCCAAGGGGTAATTAAACTTAAAATGGTGTTCAAAGCCACTCCAGCGCCTTTCACCACGTGACAAAAGGCACTTCACCGCGTGACACCTCACTCACTCAACGTCAACACTAAACACGGGACTGACGGAGTGACTGGCCGGCACCGAATACAGCTGAACGACCGCAATATATCAGGGTCAGCTGTATCGGTCAGCTGAGTGACCGATATAGCCGCAATAAATCCTACACAATCGTACAGCAGGAAACCTCTATTTTTGTCTCGCTTGAATTTCAATTTTCCAAATTCACTTATAACTATATTGATAATAACATATAAAGACTTTTGGTTATGTCACGTTTGTTAGTTGATTATTATTCTAGTATATGGTTGATGGGGAGAGGACTGTTGACGCCCCCTGCCCAGGGGCTGCCCCCCAAGCCCAGGGGCGGCCGCCCCTCAAGAGCAAGGGAGAGAATGGAAAATAATCAATTGGAAATGTTCCAAAACATACAGATTCCTTATGTTTATGCGATAAGAGGATTAATAGCTGATAAAAATGTATGTTTAAAAAGAGTATTGAATGTTTCACTTGTCCTCTCGTGGGGTGGGGGGGGGGTATGGGGCGGAAGGGGGGGAATGAGGGGGAATGAGGGGGAAAGCAGAGGGAGCTGGATTAAGGGGGTGAGGGAAGGAAAGGAAAGGGAAGGGAAGGGGTGGTGAGAAGGGGATGTTGGAGGTGGGAGGAGGGGAAGGGGAGGGGAAAGGGGAAGAGTCCTGAAGTACATGTATACTCTGGTCTGGAGCAGGCAGGTTGGGCCACACCATGTATACTCAGAGCCAGAGCAGGCAGGGTGGGCCACACCATGTATACACAACACACTCCAGCATGGTCCAACACTAGACCCTCCAGAACACCTGAGGTCCAGAGTCTTGTTCACACAGGATTCTTTGAATATTAATGCAATCATCTGCATAAGAATATTAGCAGCATCAATGGGAGGAGCTCTCTCACCCGGTGCGAGGTAGTCCTGCTCTCCTCCTCTGTTGCGTTCCTGTTGCTGCTCCTCCTCATGCTGTTCCTGTTGCTGCTCCTCATGCTGTTCCTGTTGCTGCTCCTCGTGCTGTTCCTGTTGCTGTTCCTCATGCTGTTGCTGCTCCTCTCGATCACGTTGCGTCTGAATCCTCTGAAGCCGCTCGCAAAGTGGCTACTGCTCCTCACACCTGTCCAGGAGGATAACATTGTATCAGTCGGCTCGTGTAAGTCAGGTCTGGCAGGGCGGGTTACGAGAGGCCAACCGGCTCGCCCATATCTGGTGGAGACTGTTTACTCCTCTCGAGGATGTCACCAACACCCGAGACTTCACTTTACTCTCGTGAAGTTAAGAACGCGAGAAGAACCAGAATCGAGGCCTATTGACCCATGCAAGGCCAGGTTAATGGCCACGTGATCAGGCTGAAGAGAGATGGTGGAATTCTCACGGAAAATGACAAGGAAGTGAGTGAAGTACTTGGCAAAAGATTTCCAGATATGTCATCCAGAGGTAAGTCTGGGTGACACGTGGATGAGGTTAAGTAACACCTGCAGAAATTATATACAAACCAAATCAGTAGGACCAAACCTAATATCACCATGGCTGTTGAAAAAGGTTGCAGAGGTACCTAGTCACCTGATAACTAAAGCTTTCAATAATATACTTGACACTAGAAACCTCCTAGAATTTGGGAAAAGGGTAAACATTGAACAAATATTAAAAAAAGAGAACACAGGATGCACAAAATTACAGACCAGAAGCACTGGCAAACATTCTCTGTAAAATGATGAAAAAGTAATGAGAATAAGTGAACATTTTGTAGAGGATTAATTTTTGTAACAAACGAACAGTATGAATTTAGAAGGTGGAAATTCGTGCCTGGGAAACTTGATTGGTTTCTATGACAAGGTTGCTAAAATAAGAGAGGAAGAAGAAGGTTGGGTGGACTCTTATTTTCCTAGATTGTCAAAAAGAATTTGATATTGTTCTTCATGGAACACTGGTGTTCAACATGGAGAAGGAAGCAGAGATAACTGGGAAGAGACTGAACTGATCAAGGGACAACATGAAGGACAGAGTCACTGTCTGAGATGCAGTCTCGAGCTGGAAACACAAATGAGTCCAAGAAATATAACTAAATACACGTAGCCTGGACCCGGATTCACAAAGCAGTTACGCAAGCACTTACGAACGTGAACATCTTTCCTCAATCTTTGACGGCTTTGGTTACATTTATTAAACAGTTTACAGGCATGGAAACTTCCCAATCATCTGTTGTTATTGTTATAAACAGCCTCCGAGTGCTTCGGAGCTCATTACTGTTTAATAATTGTAAACAAAGCCGCCAAAGACTGAGAAAAGATGGACAGGTTCGTAAGTGCTCGCGTAACTGCTTTGTGAATCTGAATTCACAAAGAGACGCAGCGGACTCTACCTGTTGAAGCCCCCACACAACGACCTCTGGAAGCCGCAGCTTCATAAAAAAAAAAAACTTAACGCCAGAGTCGACAAAGAATTCGAATGTCAGAACAGTTGTATTATAATGCAACAGATACAACAACAAGGCGGGTATACAGAGCTAGACCTCAGTCCCCTCCCCCCCCCTTAGTCACTGACAGGTAAACACTGATACACCTATAGTGTCTCGGGATAGTGAGGCGGGACCAAAGAGCCAGAGCTCAACCCCCGCAAACACAACTAGGTGAGTGTCAGCACCGGGCGGAACAATGATCAATCAACTCTAACGTTGTCATACGCCAGACGGAACCTTTTGGGCACCAAGGTACTGTAACACCAAGACACATGTAGTACTGTACTGTAGCACCAAGACACATGTAGTACTGTACTGTAGCACCAAGACACATGTAGTACTGTACTGTAGCACCAAGACACATGTAGTACTGTACTGTAGCACCAAGACACATGTAGTACTGTACTGTAGCACCAAGACACATGTAGTACTGTACTGTAGCACCAAGACACATGTAGTACTGTACTGTAGCACTGTAGCACACATTATAGTAACTTCTCTTTTTACAGCAATGTTAAGGTGGAATATTTCATACCACAGGCTCCAGGCGAGTTGTTGAGAAGGGAGGCGGAGAAGATCCTGTGAGGCTCCCTGAGGGCGGAGGCTCCAGGGGCGGGCTCCACCAGTAGCTCCTGGGCCCCGCCCGCCACCACGCCCCTGAAACAGGCCATCATAAGTGCCAGACCAAGATAAATGGGAAGAGTGGAAACATTTCTGGATAAAACTGAGCAAAGTAAGGAACAGGAGGTCCATACCCCCGGGGTCCCCCCCCCCTGACCCAGGGGCGTCCCCCCCTGACCCCCGGGGTCCCCCCCCCTGAGCCCCGGGGTCCCCCCAGATCCCCGGGGCCCCCCGGGGATCATGATTCAAATTATTTACATCTAAGAACATAGCGCCACCTTTGAACACTTCTCAATACTTGATGCACAATCTTTCAAACTGAGCGCCTCACACAGACACTCACCTGAGCCCCTCACAGACACTCACCTGAGCGCCTCACACACACACTCACCTGAGCCCCTCACACAGACACTCACCTGAGCGCCTCATACAGACACTCACCTGAGCCCCTCACACAGACACTCACCTGAACCCCTCACAGACACTCACCTGAGCCCCTCACACAGACACTCACCTGAGCCCCTCACAGACACTCACCTGAGCCCCTCACACAGACACTCACCTGAGCCCCTCACACAGACACTCACCTGAGCCCCTCACACAGACACTCACCTGAGCGCCTCACACAGACACTCACCTGAGCCCCTCACACAGACACTCACCTGAGCCCCTCACACAGACACTCACCTGAGCGCCTCACACAGACACTCACCTGAGCCCTGAACACAGACACTCACCTGAGCCCCTCACACAGACACTCACCTGAGCCCCTCACACACACACTCACCTGAGCCCCTCACACAGACACTCACCTGAGCCCCTCACACACACACTCACCTGAGCCCCTCACACACACACTCACCTGAGCCCCTCACACACACACTCACCTGAGCCCCTCACAGACACTCACCTGAGCGCCACACAGACACTCACCTGAGCGCCTCACACAGACACTCACCTGAGCCCCTCACAGACACTCACCTGAGCCCCTCACACACACACTCACCTGAGCCCCTCACACAGACACTCACCTGAGCCCCTCACACAGACACTCACCTGAGCGCCTCACACAGACACTCACCTGAGCCCCTCACAGACAGAGAGCGCCACCCAGGACCCGGCCACGCCCCGCACCACGCCCTGGTACTCGCAGCCAACCGGTGATACCTGCAACAACAGTCAGGTAAGTCACAGGCACTTGGTAAGGTGTCCTGCAGGACTCGGTAGTCCTGTGTGTGTGTGTGTGTGTGTGTGTGTGTGTGTGTGTGTGTGTGTGTGTGTGTGTGTGTGTGTGTGTGTGTGTGTGTGTGTGTGTGTGTGTGTGTGTGTGTGTGTGTGTGTGTGTGTGTGTGCGCGTGCGACAGAACTCATTACCATAACCTGGATAATGAAGTAAATATTATGTCATTATTTAATGCTGTTGATAATTAACTGGCTTGATTCCATCTGACGTCCCGGATGTTGTAGTTGTGAAGCGTGAGTGATGTTGTGGTTGTTAATGGTGCAGCCGTCCAGCCCGACTACTTAGACGGTCGGGGATTGAATTCCGACCTGCATGAAGCGAGGCCGTCGCTCTACCGTCCAACCAGAGTGTTTCACCATTCCTTCCCCTCCGTCCCATCCCAAATCCTCATCCTTCCCTTCCAAGTGCCATATAGACGTAATGGCTTAGTGATAACAGTTATCAGGATAACTTTATCCTGATAACTGCCTTCCCTGCTCTCTGTCTGTCTGTCTGTCTGTCTGTCTGTCTGTCTGTCTGTCTGTCTGTCTGTCTGTCTGTCTGTCTGTCTGTCTGTCTGTCTGTCTGTCTGTCCTGTCTCTCTCTCTCTCTCTCTCTCTCTCTCTCTCTCTCTCTCTCTCTCTCTCTCTCTCTCTCTCTCTCTCTCTCTCTCTCTCTCTCTCTCTCTCTCTCTCTCTCTCTCTCTCTCTCTCTCTCTGTCTCCTACTAACCACCAACATAAATAACCTAAACTGCTATGCCACCATAATACTAATACCTCTACCACACCCATCAACACCACAACCACTACACTGCTGTTGCTACCACCACAAATGCCACGTGAGGTGTGGTTTAGCCTTACCCAGTCGCGTGCCTCGTCTGGTTCAGTGTAGGTGGCCCCCAGGAGGTCTCTGTGGGGAAGATTAGCAGGTGATTAGCGGCCTCTGGGGTCATGTTAGTGACTATACTGACTATATACAATGTACGCATGCTCTCTCTCTCTCTCTCTCTCTCTCTCTCTCTCTCTCTCTCTCTCTCTCTCTCTCTCTCTCTCTCTCTCTCTCTCTCTCTCTCTCTCTCTCTCTCTCTCTCTCTCTCTCTCTCTCTCTCTCTCTCTCTCTTTTTCCTTCTCTCTTCTCCGAGCCTTACAGACTCGGAGGTGATTTGTTCCCTATTTAAGTCACTTTACATGTACTTTAAGACTGTAAGGTTAGCATATTCATTGAGGAGCAGATAGCAAGTAGCAGCTATCTAAAGGAACATATAGCAAGTAGCAGCTATCTTAAGGAACATATAGCAAGTAGCAGCTATCTTAAGGAACATATAGCAAGTAGCAGCTATCTTAAGGAACATATAGCAAGTAGCAGCTATCTAAAGGAACATATAGCAAGTAGCAGCTATCTTAAGGAACATATAGCAAGTAGCAGCTATCTTAAGGAACATATAGCAAGTAGCAGCTATCTTAAGGAACATATAGCAAGTAGCAGCTATCTAAAGGAACATATAGCAAGTAGCAGCTATCTTAAGGAACATATAGCAAGTAGCAGCTATCTTAAGGAACATATAGCAAGTAGCAGCTATCTTAAGGAACATATAGTAAGTAGCAGCTATCTTAAGGAACATATAGTAAGTAGCAGCTATCTTAAGGAACATATAGCAAGTAGCAGCTATCTTAAGGAACATATAGCAAGTAGCAGCTATCTTAAGGAACATATAGCAAGTAGCAGCTATCTTAAGGAACATATAGTAAGTAGCAGCTACCTGGAGGGATGCAGGTCGAGGGTGATATGGTGCTGCTCCGTCAGGAACTCCACCGTCAGTAGCGTTTCCTGCTCCTGAGGAAGGATAGGTAGCGAAGTAACTCTCTCTCTCTCTCTCTCTCTCTCTCTCTCTCTGACTTCACATGACTTCGTTATGCTATCATCTATCGAGCTGATAGCTCTGGTTCTACGGGCTGTGGGATTATCTGGTTACTTAATGATATACCTGACAACTGTGGCATACCTGAAGGCAGAAATATACCTGAAGGCAGTGAGATCACCAAAGACAGGGGTATACCTAAAGACAGAGGTATATCAGAGGATAGATATATCTGAAGATAGAGATATACCTGAAAACAGAGGATACCTGAAGACAGGTATACATGAAGACAGGTATACCTGAAGGCAAAGAGGGATATATCTGGAGATTGAGATATACCTGAAGACAGAGGTATACCTGAAGACAGAGGTATACCTGAAGACAGTGATATAATTGAAGATAGAGATATCTTCAGTTATATCATTGAGGATATCTGAAGATACCCCCGGCATGGTCTATTCAGGTATAAACAGAGATATACCTGAATAGAGTGATATTCCTGAAGAGAAATATACCTGAAGGCAGATACACACGAAGACAAACATATACCCGAAAAAAGGAATATACCTGAAGACAGAGATATACCTGAATGAAGAGATATACCTGAATGAAGAGATATACCTGAA